GTTTGTTTTAGCGCGAATGTTGAAATTAAGTGTATCGTAAAGTTATATTCGGAAAGAATAAACCAGTTTTATTAAGTAAGGACTTGTGTCGCTAAAGTTTCGTCGGAACGAAGTTACGGAAAATCAATTAACAAAACGGAGACGTAACAATATATATGATCATCATGGCTATCAATGGCAAATGACTCATTGATATTATGGTTTCTTTTAAGTGCACAACAAAACGATTACTTTTATTTTCATGATACCATTTATGTACTTCTGCAAACATCTAAAACTGGCTCTGATAATGTTCATAATATTTTTACCTATTACGATATTTATCCAATCCAGATATAGTTGTATCATGAATAATGTTGCAGGGTAAACCTGTAATTTACACTCAGTTTTATGAAAAATGACAGTATGTCTTAGCTAGTTTCTCACTATTAACTGATATAGATCCAAATGGTTTGATGGTCAAGATCAATAGCTATTTATTTCAGTGATCCATACTTCGTGACAAGGTTGTTTAGCTGACCTCTCATATCTTTTCGTACTGAGATAATATAAACTTTTGTAAACAGTTGTATCTGTGACATAAAATATAGTTCACATTAAAATATATTCTAATCGTCAACATTATGCTACATCTTGTTCAAGGCTTCTTTAATTTTTCTCTTTATGTTTGTTTGTTTGAAGTTAAGCACAAAGCTACACAATAGACTATCTGTGCTCTGCCCACCACGGGTATCGAAACCTGGTTTTTATCGTTGTAAGTCATCAGGCATACCGCTGTGCCACTGGGGGGCTTCTTTTTACGTGTTTCAAATACATCATTAAATGTCTGATCACACTTCATTTATTATAATGTTGGTTCTGCTCCTAAACTTTTCTTTTCCACTCGTCTAACGCATCTTTAAAATTCAGGACGTGTTTTTAAATTTTTATTTCGTCCTGTTTTGGGTTATGTAACTCTGTATTTCTCCTGTTATTTTCTACTTTTTTACTTGTTATTATTGAGGAAATACCCCAGTGTTTTCGTTTCTATTCTTCTATATTTGATATTGAGCAGACTAGGCGTTGTATCTTCCACAGTGGTACATGCACATAACCAATGCAAAAATACTCGATATAGTACCTCTACATATACTGGTTTAGTAGGACTTCGTAAGAGACTTCCCAGTGGTGAGTGTAACGAATTTGTTGTTATGTATTTATTTTAATATGAACTTTGTTTAGATTAAGTTTATATTTAAAAACATGCACAAGAACGTTGAAACACTACAGGAAGCAGCCACTCTTTCCGATGACTACACTTTAATACATAAAACCACTTTTCATAAAAAGAAATTCCTAACGTCTCAACAAAAACCTGTATCTGTTCAGTCCACTAAAGTTGAGAATTCTTCTAAAAAATCCAGCTCCTTTAGTTCGAAATTATTTGACAGTCAGGATAAAACTTCTTTAAAACAATCAAGGCCTGTCTGCCATTTTTGTAAAATACCTGGTCATGTTATGTTCGATTGTTGGTGTTTGAAGAAGTAAAAAGAAAAGGAAGCAATACCCAGTGTGTTTGTGTCCACATATGGACATAGTTTCACCAGATCACCCGATGTTGTTGATATGGCCACTGATATAAAGGCTGATGTAATAAGATGGGAATTTAGACCTTTTGTGTCTGTTGGTTCTGTGTCTTTGACAAATGACACTAGCAATCCCATACCCATACATATTCTACGTGATACTGGGGCGACTTAATCATTGTTGTTAGAAGGTATATTGCTTTTAGATTCGAGTTCTGCCACTGGTGAGTCTGTTATTGCTCAGGCTATTGAGGGTGGCTTTGTTAATGTTCCTCTTCATAACACTTATTTAGTACCAGACCTAGTTTCGGGACCAATTGTGGTTGGAGTAAGACCTACTCTGCCAATTATGGGTGTATCATTGTTTTGGGAAACGATTTGGCTTGGGGAAAAGTTGTTGCCGAACCTAAAATGGTTAATGAGCCAAACACTGCTTCATCTAAGGATGATGTTGTAGTTGAGGAGAATTCCAATGTTTTTCCCTCGTGTGCTGTGACTCAAACTCAGGCTAAGAAATTAAGCCAAAAACAAACGATAGACATGGATTCAGAGGACGATATTATAGATTTGTCTCAGACAATTTTTGGATCAAACGAGGCTCTTGTGGATAATTGTCCTACTGATGATTTCTTAGTGAGGAACAACGATAGACGTGAAGGATCTGATTCACCCGTAAACTGATAGCTGAGCAAGAAAAATATCTACAGATCTCTTCGCTATTTAAACATGCACTCCCAAAGGATAAACCAAAGAATGTTCTAAGTGGTTATTTTTTTCAAAAATGGTGTGTTTATGAGGAAATGGAGACCACCAGATGTGCCAGCTTCAGGGGACTGGGCTATTGTTTATCAAATCGTTGTTCCCAAAGCGTATCGTTCTAAAATATTGAAAGTTGACCATGAAATCCCCATGGGAGGTCATTTAGGTGTCAACAAGACATGTAACAAAATAATGAGACATTTCCTTCGGCCAAAAATTGATAAAACTTGTCATACCTGTCAGTTGGTCGGAAAACCTAACCAGAAAATTCCTGTTGCTCCTCTGAAACTAATCCTAGATTTTGAAGAACATAAGATGGTCTTAGTATTGTTACCCACTATGGGATATTTTGTGTATCAGTCTTATTGGCAAATATCATAAACTGACTACATAGCGACATATATTTAAATACTAAATTCAAAGTATGATTTAACTATTAATTTAAATTATCAGTTAACTCGGCTTCGGACTATTTGAAATTCTAATACGTAACATAAGTCTGTGAACTTATATCGCTAGAAACCGAGTTTTGATACCCATGGTGGGCACAGCACAGATA